GAGACTCCCGGCCCATTAAGACTGAGGGGTCACTGCCAGAGCTCTGCCCACCCCCCTCCTTCCTGGCTAGATCCCAGCCAAGCCATCAGCAGTCCCTGAGGACAGGAGGCTGCAGTGGGAAGCAGGCTGAGTGGCAGGAGCTGCTTGGTGGGCAGGCGGAGCTGGGGGTTGCAAGGAGGAATGAGAGGGTTAACCCTAACAGAGCCTAACCAGCACCCCTCGGTCCTGCACACCGCGCCCACCCCACTGAGGCTTCAGGCAGGATCTGCAGGAGGAGGCTGGGGTTCAGGCTTGCCAGAGGTGTGTGTGTGTGTGTGTGTGTGTGTGTGTGTGTGTGTGTGTGTCAAAGTCACCATCTCAGTTTCCCTGTATGGACCATAGGTGGTTCCACATTCTGAGTCTATGTACCTTACAAGAGTCTCGTCCACTACCTTGGCCCTATGTCCAGCTGCCTGAACCTCCCAGGAGTTTTTTTCTCCGACCTCCTGCCTCTCTGAGGTCCCTGCACGTCCCACCCACCCCCACTCCCCATCCAAACCTGAGACTCCTCAGCGCTCCCTTCCCCTCCCTCTTTTATCAGTTCTTTCCCAAGCCCCCAGACTCCTCCCTTCAGAAAAATCCTGGTCTCATCTGTCCTTGGGCCATGCCAGCCAGGGCCTCGCTGCTCCCCACATTGACCTGAGCTCCACACTGACCTCTTGGTTCCCACTTCTTCCCTCCAGGCCAACCCTGACAGAGCCACTGAGCTGCTTTCTAAGACCCCCGATCTGAGCACACCCCTCCTCTGCAAAGCCTGGGCCTGGCCAAAGCCCCTGAGGCTGGAGTTCACAGCCCTGCAGGCTAGGGCTCCTGCCACTTCCTGCTGCTCTCTTCCACACAGCCTCCTTGCTGTTCCAGGCACAGGGCCACTGGCTCACGGGGTCTCCTCACTGTCCAGGCATAGGACCTTGGCTGATGTGATGGCCCCCACTTGCAATCGTGGTCCTGCTCTTTGCTGCTCAATTCTTCTCCAGCTCTTTATGGGAGCGGAGCCACGTGGGTCTCCGAGGGCAGAGTCCTCTTTGCCTGCTTCATTTCTGCACCACAGGGTGTAGAATGAATTGTCCTGGGCTTATGGGGGTGGTCACAAATTCAGTCACCTCCCTCCCACCCCAGTGGGCACAGCATCCCAGCTGGGTCCTAAATCACCAGGGGAAGGAAACGGCCACCCACCTGCACATAGATGGACATGCACACGCATGCACACAAGCGCCATGGTACACACTCAAGCTATTACACACTAGCAAGCGTGCCACCACCACTCCGAGACACACACGGATACTGGTATTCACACACCGACAAATACACACACAAACAGGCATGCACACAGAACCAATCAGACAGCTTGTGTACTGAGATGTTTTCTCTACAGACACAGCACATTGTTAACATATATGACAACAAAGTCAAATGCCCATACACACACACCGGCACACATACACCCACCGCCTGCACTTGGACATGTGCAGGAAACTCTCACAGGCACACAGGGATGCTCACACACCCTGAGGAGCTGCTGGACAGGCAGCCACCCAGGAGCCCACCCCTCCCACCCCCGCACACACCCCACATGTATCTGCACACACCTCACATGCATGCACACGTACACTCTCACGCTGCCCGGCACAAACCTGTACCACAAGACTGACAGGCACACACATACATGTCACCCGCCTGCCACTTTGGTGACCCTCAAATGGTGCCCTGTAGAGGCCCCTCCACTCACCTGTGTGTGCACACACCCCAGCACGTGGGCACCCACTGGCTGACTCACAGGAGCCTCGGTCCTACTAGCCCTGTGGCTCCCTTTACCCACCCTGGGACAGAAGCTTTGGAATAAAGTTACATAAAGTGACAGCCCTAACCCTCAATTCCACGGGGAGGGTGGTTGTCTCAAACCCTCTCCTGCTCGGGGGTGGGGGTCAGGGGGGCATCCTTACACATACTCGTACTCATACTCGCTCTCAAACGTCGTCACACAGTCGGTGAAACTGTACCTCTCCAGGGTTCTGAAGCACCCTATTCCAGACCCCAAAGCTGGAACTCTTGGGACAGACCTCCCCGCCCCCATGCCGGCAAGAGAGCTGGGTCCTGTGTATAACCAAACCCTGCCCAGGCCAGCAGCCCCTTCTCTAGGACTCCAGCCTCATTGCCCCCTAGGTTGGTGCCAGTCGCCCCCACCCTACACAGTCTCCCAGCAGGCTGCAGTCCGGGAACCCAGCGCCCGGACCAGATCGATCTTCCCACGTGGCTCAGCTGCAGCCAAGCCCAGCTGGAGCTCCGGAGACTCGGCCCCGTAGCGCCGTCTGCAGCCGGCCGCACGCCCGGCCCGGCCCGTCCGAGTACTCACGGCTCAGCCGGTCGCGCTGCCGGGTACTGCTGGCTCCTGCAGAGGATGGAGTGGCCGCACGCCTGCCCCATCGCTCCTCATCATCTGCCTCCCGGACCGGACCAAGGGGGCACCTCGCCCTGTCCACCCTGCCCGAGGTCCGGGCCAGGCGGCTGGTCCAGCAGGCAGAGGGGCCAAGAGCAGGAGCCTCCCCGACTCCGCCTGGACTCGACCCCCCTACCCGCCTCTGCTGCCCGGGCTGCTCCCGCCGCTCTAGCTGCGGCTTGGTCGCTTGGCGCTGGGAGGAGGTTGGAGCAGGTCTGCTAATGCTGGAGGGGGAGGGGGGAGGAGGAACCGAGAGAGGCCCAGACAGAGCAGCAGAGGGCGGGGGAGAGAGGGAGCGAGGGAAAGAAAGGCGCACGCGGGGGTTGGGGGTGGGGGTGATGATAGAAACAGAATGACAGAGACAGAGCAGGAGAGAGAGACTTAGACCTGGAGACAAGAGGCGAGTGGGGTGAACAAGAAATACAGAAAGTAGAGGCATGGGAGGCACACACACACACACACACACACACACACAGCAAAAAGAAAGGGCAGAGGCAGAGAGATGGGAGAGAGGGGAGGCTGAGGAGGTCCAAAGACAGGTGTGAAGGCAAGGGGCTGGGCCTCCTGCTGTCCTATCCAGTCTTGGCCCTGCTGGAGACAAGGTCCACCACTCTAGGCTCCCTCATTTGATTGGCAGCCTGTCCTAGGACGCAGCCTCGACATGGAACTATTTGTTGATGGCCATTGGACTTGGAGACTTGTCATGGGTCCCACCAATAAATGGCTCTGCTTGGCTGGGACAAGTGGGACCTGGTGTCTGAGCATGGACTTCACTGCTGTCCCGCCAGAGAAAGGCCTTCCACATCGTTGGCCTGCCCTAGAGGACTTCTCAGGATAAAGCCTTTAGCCAGTGAAATGCGAGTATGGGAGACTGTAGTTTCAACGCAGCTCCTGTAATATTGAAGAAGTGCCACACCTTAAGGTACAAGGTGGAGGTTCCAGTCCTGGATCCAACACCAACTTGCTCATTCATTTCTTCACCAGCACCTACCATGAGCGAACTCTATCAGACCTGGCTCAGACTGTCCCTGCCTGGAAGAAGCACTCAGAGGATGGGGGATGGGGAGCAGGCTGTGACTGTGGGAGGCACAGGGAGGGGCGGTGGAGTCCAAGGCCCCCAGCCCCATTGGCAAGTGTTCACAGCTCAGTGTTCATGGGCAGGGCGGGAAGCCCAGGCCCAGGGGCTGCATCCAGGCTAGGGGAGACACATGGCAGCCTTCTGGGCCAGGAGCCCAAGTGGAAACTCATCCCTTGCCCACAGTGGGGGTGCAGTGGGGGGTGGGGGCAGGAGTGACCAGGCTGAATCCTGCACAGAGCCATTCTCTTGCTGCTCGGAAAATGTCCAGAAAGAAAATTCAAGGGAGTCTTTTCGACTCACGGTGGCTCCAGAGGGTAGAATTTTAGATCTCTGAAATCTTTGTGAAAACGGTTTTCTATCATAAAGGGAATGAGGCCCAGGCTGGTTCTAAACCAGCTGAGCCCACCCAGAGCCTGGTTTGCCTCTCCGTCTAATGCATCTCCAAGGTATCCATGCGTTGTCTTAGCTGGCTGGGTAGCATCCCCTGGGCTTACAGAGCCGAGCCCTGGACTGTGCCCAGGGTGGTCTCTCACAGCTCCTCTTAAGCCCCCATGAGCCCACTCACAGCCTTGAGGAGCCTGCCCATAGAAAAGCAGAGCCAGGAGCCTGCCCTCCCCAGCTCACTGAAGGTGGACCCAGGTGCAAGGTGGCTTCAGTCTCCTTTCTGTCCTCCCACATGGGAAGCGCTGTCGGTTGCCTCCTCTGCAGAGACCTCCCGGGTCAAATGGATGGGAGGGGGTGTATCCTCCCCACCAGTTTCCACAGCTGCCCCAGAAACAGGGAGCTTGCACAGAGGATCCACGCTCTGGGCCTTCATAGGCCTAACAAACCCCAGATGCATGCTCACGTCAGCTCTGCCACGTGCCTAAGCAAATTATTCCAACCCTCGGAGCCGCAATGTCATTTTCTCACCTGAAAGATGGGTCACACATTCCCAGCTGGAAGAGTTATAAGGTGTGGTGTGGTGTGGTGGTGGTGGTGGTGTGTGTGTGTGTGTAAAGCTCGTGTGTGTGTGTGTGTGTGTGTGTGTGTGTGTGTGTGTGTAAAGCTCGTGTGTGTGTGTGTGTGTGTGTGCGTGTGTGTGTGTGTGTGTAAAGCTCTCAGTAAACAGCCAGCCCTTCTGACCCCCTATACCCAAGAGGTTTGACTCATGGGGCTGAGGGCGTGGCCGACCTAAATGTGCGGTTGGAGTTTCTGTAGGGTAGTGCTGGGACAAGGAGGTGCCAAAGAAGAAGCTTAGAGGTATTCCAGGTCTGTGGCTCCCCAACAGGCTGGCGAACAAGCTCCACCCCGCGGCTGTAGGAGCCCCAGGACCAGGGAGCCAGTGGAGAAGCCCCGCCCCCGTCGCCGGCCACGCCCCGACGCCGGCCGCTCTCCAGGGTTCTGAGCCTCTGACCCGGGCGCGTCGCCCCGCAGCTCATCAGCTGTCGTGCTTCTTTGCTTTAGCGTGTTTTTTGACTCCAGGAGACCCAGAAGTGCACGGCAGAGCTGCTCCATTGAGTTCCCGACGCTGTGACCTTTCAGAAACAGATCGCCATGCCTGTCTTCCGAGGCGCCTCCGGTGTGTTAGAACTGCCAAGCGTTTTGCTAGTAAGTGGCCAAGCCCTTCACCCACCGTATGCACCCCAGGGACTCGGCCCATCAGCACTTTTTTTTTTTTTTTGCTAGCTGGCGAGCTGAAGGTGGGTGAGAAAAGGCTGGGCGTTCCTACGAGGGATGACGGCCCTAAGAAGCCGGAAGTGCAGCCCCGGGGATCCGACTCTGCCCCGCCCCAACCACTCTGTGAGGGCTGCAGTTTCCATGTGCTCCGGCTGCCTTCTCACTGAGAAACAGGCCGGCCGGGCAGCTACTTGTCAGAGCCCTCCACCGCCCCCTCCTGCTCGGCTGTTTTCCCTCCCACCTTCCAGCCGGCCCCTCCTCTGTCCTCCTCACCCACTCGGCTCATCCTGTCCTCGCCCCCTCAGCAGGGTGTTCCCCAGGCAATCCTCTCTCCTAATTCTCCACCCAGTTCAGAGGCCTCCCCCAACTTGACAACTCAGGGTGCCCGGACCTCCAGCCCCTTCCTGAGCTCCAGGTGTTCAGCCACTGGCTGCCTCCTGGACATCTCCCTTGGGGACATCCCTTAGGCCCCTCACTCTCAAACAGTCAACATCCAGCACAGCGCTCAGAATGCCTTGTCTTTATCAAAGGCGGCAGGACACTTCTCTTCCAGGGGCTGGAAACTTCAAAGCCTCTTTGTCTCTTCTCTCTCTTCCATCTGTCAGATCTCTCACAAAGAGCTGTGGATGCCCCTTCTGTGATTCTCACATCTGCCCTCTCCCTCTGTCCTCACCGCACCAAACCCTCTCCCTCTGCCCCCACCCACCCCATGTCCCAGCTCCCTTCCTCCTCCCATTCATTCCCTAACCGCAGTTGGCAGTTCACCCTCCATTCCACCACTACACTGCTGCATCTAGGGCCACTTCCTGAGACATCTTACTGGTTGTTCAGAGCCTCAAATCCTAATCTGGCTCCCCAGTGGACTTGGGAGAGAGGCGAAGCTCCTCAGCCTGCCCTTTGAGGCCTTTCATGGTCTGACCTGACGGGCAGCTCTCCACGTGTCCCAAGGACACATGCCAGTCCTTTCCTCCTCCTCCTCCTCCTCCTCCTCAGCGTTTTTCAGGCAGCTTTTCTTCCCACACAACTTTTTTCCTTGTCTCTGTCCATCCTACATTTACCACCCTTCCTAGGCTGCTTCCCACATCCTGCCCCTACCAATGGCAGAGACAGGCAAGGGACTGAGCAGCCTTGGGCTACCTCTCCCTTCCCAGAATGTCCCATCACCTCACCCACATCCTAAGCTGACTTGACTTCTTCAGTTCGAGGGCAGGAGGGGGGCGGGGGGGGGGGGGATGAGCCCAGGGTCTGGTGGGAGCAATGCTCAGTAGGGGCTGCAGATGGTGTGGGGCGCAGGTGGCTCTCACTGAGGGCAGAGTGTGAGCCAGCCCTGGGCTCCCCGGGGACAGACTGATAATTGGTGGAACATGGATTTCACGGAGGGCTTGGCTGAACCTCCCCAGGTGCCTCCCTCTGGCTGGGCACCAGGATGGGCCCACATCTGAGTCTTAGAGCCAAGGTCCCAGGTGTGAGGGGATTGGAAAGGTGAGGTGCCCAGGGGACTGCCAGCTGAAGACAATGGCTGGAGGAGTCCCATGTCCTTGGGAAATGCCTGGCAGAATTCGCTGCATTTCCTCACCGGGCACACAACTTATTACACCATGGTGCACAAGGCCTTTGCTGATACAAGAACGAAAGGCCACCATAAACTCCAGGACATGTCTGAAGACACAGCTCAGGAGGCGGCTGTGGGGGCTCCAAACCCAGGGTTGAGAGGCCATGGGTCTGCTTCATGCTCTTGAGTCCACCAGAGCCACCCTACCAGGCCCTGATCCTGGGGGCAGAGGAGGAGGTGGGGGGTGCAGATGGCAAGTTCCGGGGAGGAAGACCCATGCACACAAGGTGTTCTCTCCTTTGCCCATTCCATGGCTTGTCCCCTGTGGGGTCAGAGTGTGTGCTGAATGGTCCAGGAGAGGTGGGTAGTTTGGGATGGGCAGAAGAAAGGGAGGGGAGACACCCGAACGTACTTGCTACCCAGGTTGGACAATCAGGGAGTCATTGCTGCTAGAACCAACGGTGAGTCCAGTATCTCGTGGTACAGACAGGGAAATCGAGAGCAGAGAGGTGCCCAGGGCACACAGGAGGAATGGACAGGGCTGAGCCCAGGACCAGGACATGTGGCCACTGCCCATCCTCCTCTCCAGTCCCCTCCTCCAGCTGGGGCAGAAGCCTGACAGAGAAGGCTTGACGTTTTATGGGGGGAGGTTTTTTTTGCTCCATGTTCTTTCAGGGCAAGGCTTGTGACCCTGGGGGAGGTGTCCCGAGGATGGCCCCTGTGATCTCATCTTCTGGGGAAGATTTTGCCTCTCCGGCACCCCAGATCTCTCCCTACCCCCATCACCTCACCCACATCCTAAGCTGACTTGACTTCAGTTCGAGGGCAGGAGAGGTGGGGGGGGGGTGAGCTCAGGGTCTGGTGGGAGCAATGCTCAGCAGCCCCTCCTTGCCCTCAACTTCCCACTCAAACCTCAAACACCTTCCCCCTTAACTCCAGGCACCTGGTGGGGGGAGGGCAGAGGGGGTGGGACCCAGTGGGATAAGGCAACTGCTATATTTGAATTATTATATAAGCAAGAAGGGTGGCAGCTAAAACGTGACTCCCTTAAGGTGCGGAGCCGCCGAGACTCAGCTCGGGAGGCAGGGTGCTACTCCCACACCCCCATCACCCCCCCACCCCAGCTCCAGCCTTGGCCAGTCGACCAGGAGTTTCTGCAGGATAGACTGCAAGGACAGTCCTCCAGGTCTAACGGTGGGAGGAGGTACGTGGCCCTCTCCGGCTGCTTAGAAAATAACCTCAACTATTGGCTTCTAGAAACTCCAACGCCAGATGCAGACTAAGCCCCAGATCTCCCGGTGACCCCAGAACAGTTTGCCATTCATCTCAAGAAAGAAGTCTGCCGGGAGAGCCCCAGGCACGAAGACTGTGCCGCCTCCTCGCTCCTGGCGCTGGCCCCTGTTTCTTCCCCCGTGAAATGGGAACATAAAGGGTGTCTTCCTTATCAGGTGCATTATGAGCATCACGTGACTGAGGCAGAGCCCTCTCCCCCATCTGCGAATGGGACCGTTTGCCCACTCATGATCACCATTCCCAACTCTCGTGATGGGCTAGATGGCCCAGGGAGACTGGTGCAGGGCTGGAATGACCCCCCTGGTGGCAGAGGGGGAGGTCTGAGAAAGCTGAGGTCTGTTGAGAGCACAGCCAGATGACTTGGGGACCTGGATAAACCCCTGCTCCCAGTGGCCCTCAGTCTGCACCCTCCAGGTCCCAGCTCTGAAATTGGTGTTGGTGAACTTTGTCCTTCCTCTCTAGGATTAGTGACTTGTGGCACTAGAAGCTGGTAGGGCTGGGAGGTGGACATGGTGGCCAGAGCTGGGCATTAGGCACAAGGACCACTGTCTCAAGGCCTCTTGGATGCTCCTCCTATGACACCCCCACCCCCTCCAATCAGGCGGAGGAAGGCTGCACCCACCCCAGCTGTTACCATGACGCTGGTCTCCATGGCGCCAAGCACACAGCTCCCCTATTCCAGGAGGAGGGGACAGAGGTGACAGGAGCTGAGGGGGTTCAGGCCCCCTTGGCCTGGAGCTCAGTCTCCATCAATCACAAGGAGGTCACCATCCTGAGCCCTTGAGGAGGGAGGGAGGGAGAGAGGGTCACAGGATTGACAAAGAGAGGACTCGGAGGGACTGAGGTGAGGTGAGAGAGATATAGGAGGGCAGAGAGGGCAGGGGGAGGGAGGGGGCAGAACTTGGGGACAACATTGGGGGAGGGGCTGGGAGAATGCCTCACAGGCTGACAAGTGGTGGGAGGCAGAGTCCAGCCCATCTCTTTGCTCCGCTTGGCAGTGGGTGGTGGTGGGAGGACAGAGTGGAGGAGGAGCAGGAGGGAAAGGAGTGATTTTCCTAGAGAGCTCCTTGTGTGTGGGGGTGCTCCTCCACGTGCTGCAGGCGCCTGCCTGTGTGTGTGTGTGTGTATGTGTGTGTGTGCAGCATGCACTTGCAGGAGCGCAGGCTTAGGTGTACAGCCACCACGTGTTTCTGTGTATGTTTGTGCCTGCGTGCGCCTGTGTTGCTGTGTCTCCAGGGTGATAAAGATGGCAGGAGCTGTAACCAGGGCAGAGAAAGGGCGGAAATTTCCATGGGCTGCGAGTTGTGTGGGAGAAGGGGCACCACAGAGCTAGGCGAGTTTGGGATGGATGGTGAGGGACCCTGTCCCTGCCAGCTCTTCCCTGGGCCAGTCCCTAGTGGAGTTTGAGACCTGAGCCACAGGTGCCCCCTGCCCCCTGCCCCGGGACTGTGCAGGGGACATGGGAGCACCTCCAGGAGCTCATGCTGGAGGAGAGGTTGGGGAGCCCAGAGCAGCTGTACAAGCCCATGCAAGGGGCCTTCAAAGGGATTGTGGGGGGAATGAAAAGATGATGGACATTTTCACCCATTTTTGAAGCCTCCTCCCACAGCAGGGTCTAGACAACCTGGGGTACAGAGCTGGCTGAGAGGCTCCCTGTTCTGCAAGCGGAAGTCTCTGGGTGTCTGCTTGACTAAGATGGGGCCATACCTCCGAGTGTGTGGAATTGGTTCTGGGGGGACCTGGACACTAAGCTCCAACCGCCAAAGACTGGTCACTGCATGGCTGCATCCCCATTCCTCAGCTCCAGACACAAGGATAACTCATGCCTGTCCCTGGCTCCCCTCCTGACTAGTAGGCCCCACCAGGGCTGCTTCCCCTCAACACCCAGGGAAGCTCTGCACACTGCTGATGCCCAGGCCCCGTTCTCAAACAGCAGCAGACTGGGACTGACCGGCAAGGACTTAGGTGCCTCGAAGTCTCCCCAGACAGGCTGGGGCCACGGTTAAGGGTGTTTCACGTGAGTTAGCACATTTCACCCTCCCAGCCCACCAGGAGGTAAGTGCCACTGGCATCTCCAAGGGACAGACGAGCACAGAGTCCCTGGGAGCTCAGGCCTGAAACCCTCTCAGAGGCAGCCTGGCGATGCTTCTGGAAGGGCAGGGCCTCAGAGACCTCGTGGTGTAGCTCTTCCTTCCCTGCACACTCAGTGTGCAACAACGAACAATAGCCGAGGACACTGGCAGTCTAACCACCCACTGCTACCAAGCTTGCACACGGAGTCAACACCTGCCTGCCCGACATGTCACACCAATGGCTTTTCTGAGACGGCGGGTTGCAGGCAGGGGACTTGGAGGCCACCAGAATATGGGGCCGGGTAGGAAGAACTCAGCTCCAGGTCACTCTCAGGACCCTCCTCTGATCTCTGGGCTAAGGGGCAAGGGGCACTGGAGGCCAGACCCAGGTCTTCAATGCCCCCGCCCCTCCCGTGGGTTTCCTGCAGAGCTCAAGGGTCTCCTGAAACCCCCTCAATAGCTACTGAACTCTGCTGATGGCTTTTCAGGGTAGGCAAGAGGGAAGAGAAGAGACAGACATCCCGTCCACCCCTCTCCCAACCTTTCCCATATCCCTCCCCAAGGCCTTCCTCTCAGTCCACACCCATCAGTCACCTCTCCTTCAGAGAGGCTCTTACGACCCACATTCTGATGCCTCAGGGCCCCTCTCAAGATTCCTTGTGGGCCCCTGGGATGAAGCCCAGACTTGGGTTGGCCCTTCTACTCCCCTGATATTCATGGCCCACCTCCCCCCAAATCATACCCCTCCCCTCCAGGTGCACCTGGCCAGGCTCCCAGTTTCCATAGGCCAGTGACCAACGCAGGGTGCCTCCTCCCCCAGGAAGCCCTCCCATCAGAGCTACTCCTCCACCCTGAGCAGACCCAGCTCTGTCCCCACCCCCAGGAAGACCCTGTTTGTTTCTAGGGATCTTAGTGACAAACACCAGCTAAGTCCTCTGCCCTGCCCCACTCAGCCAGGTCATCACTGCTGTAACCATTACGGTGGAGACCCCGAAGGGCCTGAGGAAAAGCACATCAAGTGATGACTGCCAAGTGACCTTCGGGCCCCTTCCCCAGGGGAGAGAGGAGAGAGCACAGCAGGTAAACGCTCCGGCAGGGACTTCAAAGGTGGCACCCTAGGCTGGGGAGATAAGGCCAGAGGAAGGTCCCTGGCTCTGGGGAGCGATGTGGCCTTGGGGAAGTCTCCTCCCTTCTCTGAGCCTCACTTTCTTTCTTGCTGTTCAAGTGGATTCTGAGTCACTACAGCCTGACCCGGGAGGACAGAGGCGTGGGGACCTCCCAGACTGCCCTGGGACCAGCCCAAGGAGCTGTCTATGGCTGCCCCCTGGTGGCCCAAAGCAGGCACTGCAGCCCAAGTTGTGACACTGGCTGCCTGGGGAAAGGGGAGCATTTGAGCCCCACCCCACTGTCAGCGCCCCATGGTGGTCTGATCAAGGGAGAATACCAGCCCCCCCCCCACCCCTACCCCAGCAGAACTGCTCAGACACAGAACATCTGGAGCAGCCCACCCAGGGAGGGGCAGATCCAGTAGCTTGGCCTCTGCTCGAGTACAGCCAATGACAGTCGGGCCACAGGTTCCATCCAGGTACCCCCTCCCTCCCCAGGCAGGAACCTGGAGGCCAGGATTGCCGCACTTCTGACCCTCCCCACCGGGTCGTCCACAAGTCCCAGGTCATTTGTCCATCCTCTGCGCCCTCGGCCCAGAGCCACTGGCCAAGGCCGGGGACAAGCCGTCAGCCTGTCTGCCTGCTGGGCCCTGGAGAGAGGCCAGTAATGAGGCTCTAGGCAGAGGCGGGAATGCAGGGTCTGGCACCTTCCCAGGGTGTCTCGACTCCATCTCTGAACAGCTCATTATCACCCTGCTCGCCAGGGCTGGTCTCCAGGAGAGGCCCGGGGAGGGTAGCTTCCTGGTACAGGGCAGCACCCAGCCCTGTTGGAGCACCCAGGCCCAGGGGGACCAGGAGGCCCTCCTTCCTTCCTAACACTACTCCTGGGAGTCCGTGAGCTTGTGTCTCCAGCAGTGGCAGCAGAGGGTCTGCTTGAGCCATTCACACTCTACACCCAAGCCCTGGCTCCGCAGAGACTGGAGGATCTGTCCTGGTGGGAATCAGGGCTGCATGGGAGAGGCTAGACTAGCAGTCCCCACCCTGGCTGTGGAGCCGGACAAGGTGAGCAAGCAGAGGCCTGCCTTGGGCAGGGGAGACTGGACAGCTCAGGCCCTGGGAGTGCAAAGCCCTGGTCCCGGCTTTGGGGCAGGCAGCACGAACGGCTTCCTGGTCTCCAGGTCCCACCTATCCCAAGACACGGATCCCCTGGACCAAAGCACAGGCCTCAGAACCATCGGGTAAAATATACAGATATATTTATATTATCAAAAGGCCCCCAAAGTGGGGTAGGGGCAGTCAGCAGCCTGGGCCCTCACAGTTAGCCCAGAAGAGAGGCTGATGTCCCCAAAGTCCAGCTCTTGGCAGTCTGTAGGCGATCCCCCAAGTCCCCTGCCCACCCGCTCACTGTTGTCCTGGGGCTCATGGCAGGGGCAGCTCCCTTCCGGTGGGGTGTCCCACGGCCTCCAGCATGTTCTATCCTGGGGGAGGAGGTCCAGCCAGGCTGAGGTCTTGGACAGGGCAGGCCAGGTTCCTTCCTAGGCTGCCCCTGTGGCCTCCATCCACAGCCAGGGAACCGACGGACCCAAGTGCTGCAGTCAGGGCTGGGGCGTGGGGGCGCGGCTTCCTCATGGCCCCCTTGCTGGCTAACGACAGGCCGCAGGGGGAGAGGGATGTCAGACAGGAAAGCAGGCTTCACAGTCGCTCCGGGTGGGGTCAGCTCCTGTGCTCAGACGTTGCGGAGGAGCTGTGGGAGACAGAGCACTGGAAGGCTCAGGCGGGGGCGTGAACTCAAGACAGCGAGGGTCTCTGGGCCACAAAGGAAAGGAGGGTCCTGGAACTCTGTGAACCCAAGGGGCCTGTGGATGCCCACTGAGGATCAGGGGAGGGGGGCTAGAGGGTGCTCAGAGATACGTTGTGAGGCAGGAGGGTCCCCACCCTACCCCGGCAGGGAGAGGCACTCACGGACAGGGGGTCGGAGGAAAAGGCGGCCACGCTCCGTCGCATCTCGTTCTCACTGCCACGCAGGGGGATCAGCGACACGCTGCCCAGCCGAACCTCGGGCACCACCCGAGACACCCGGGAAGGCTCCGAGGGCCACACCAGGCCGTCGTGCTAGGGGCAGGGCAGAGGAGGGCTGTGCCTGGGCCGTGCTTCGGCACACCTGCCCCCCCTTCCCAGAAACGCCTCCAGCCCTGAACTGTGGCGACCCCCTCCACCACTCGGATCCCCGAGCTGTGGGAAGCAGCGGTGGGGGAACAGCACCTGGCACAACTCAGCTTCCAGACTGGGTCCCTGAACAACTCCGTCTCCCCACCCACCAACAGCCCGCGGAGAAAGTGTAGCACTCAGAAAACCCTTTTGGAGAACTGGGGCGCCCCCCCCCCATCACCCTGGAGACCCTGGCTCCCCTAAAGCTTGAGCATTCAAGAACTTCGATCCAGTGAAGAACTCGGGCCCGGGGCCTGGCACAGTGCTCCTTGCGACATCTGTCGCGACGTGCCTGCGTGAGCTCTAACCCAGGTCCTTGCCCGGGCTCTGCCTTGGTAAGAAGGCACCGCGATCCACCCTGCCGGGCCGGGGCCTCCTGGCTGCCAAGCCCTGCCCTTCACGTCCTCTCCAACTGAGCACTCTCACCTAAACCCACCCGAGCCCTCTGCCCGAGGGGTCGGCTCAGTGTCCCTGGCTCGGCCTTCAAGGCCCTTCAGTGGTCTGCTCCGGACTCCCGCCACCCTTGCTTTCCCACTCTCAGGGCAGGCTGTCCCTCTGGCTCAGGTGCCCCCGTTCTTCGCTGACCCCCACCACCTCTGGACTCAGTGGAGTCTCCCTTTCCCCCAAAGACTGCCCACTGCCCCCCACCGCCGCCCCGGGCAGGGTCCCTGGCTTCCCCGTCACCAAGCACTGTCCCATTAGGCCATCCTCTGGGTCTGCTGTCCTCTCCCAGGACCCGGCTCTGTCTTTCGAATGTTTAGCAGCTCAGGGCCGGGCCAGGGCAGGAACCAGGAAGGGTTTGTTGAGGGAATGAACCAATGACTTAAAAGCCAGCTCGGTGACTCCTGGAGAGGGCACGGTGGCAGTGGTGGTGCGAATAATGAACCCGCAGGCACCCCCACTGGCCAGGACAGAGCCTGTGAAGGCCGGGCCCTGCCCGTGCACGCACCCGCGCCACACACCTGCACAAACAGGAAGGTGGCAAACCACTCCCGGAGCTCCATCTGCGTGTCACAGCACAGGTACCTGCAGGGCGGGGCACACGTCTGGGTGCTGTAGGCACCTCTGCCCACCCCTCCAGCCCAGGGTCTGGGCAGTGGCGGGGGACCCCTCTCTCGGCAAAGGGAACCCATCCCTCCAGCCCAGGGTCTTGGGGGGGCCCAGTTCTGGGCAGTGGCAGTGGGCGGGCGGGAGCGGCTCTCGGCTCACCACTGCTGTTTCTCGTGCTTCTCCGTCTCGTGTACCACCGTGAAACCCCAGCTGCCGAGGACGGGAGGGAGGGGTCACCTGACCGTTCGCCCAGGTCTCCAAGCCCACAGCCCTGAGGACAGGGCCCCAGAGCTGGGCTGGCATCCCCAGCTGACAACCGCCCCTTCTCACAAGCCCTTCCATCCCCATCCAGTGGCGTTCCCACACCCGGGCCTGCCGTCATCCCAGGGGGGCCGCCAGGCATGGTGGCTGTTGTGTGGTCAGCGTTGAAAGCTGAGGCTACATGGGTGGGCACCGCTCTTCACCTTTTAAAAACCGACAACCCCCTTTGAAGCAGATGTGCCATGAGCTCCCCGTTTTACAGGGGTGGAAACTGAGGCACAGCAAGGTCCCAGAGCCAGTCATGACAGGACACGGACCGGGCCAGTGGCTCTCAGTTGCCCAGGTGGGAGTTTGCCGGGGCCCACCCCCAGATGCAAAGCCAGCGGGTGTGTCTAAAGTGCCTCCAGGGAGTTATGCTGCTGATTGGGCACCACCCCCTGGAATCACTGCACCAGGGGACCCTGGCTCTCAGGGCTGCCCAGGTCCCCATCAGTGCCACACCCGGCATCCAACCCTCGAGTCCACCAGCCCCGAATCCACCAGCCCCCTTCCCAGGCCGGCTCACCAGGTGGGCGGCCGGAGTTTCTTCTTCACTCCCAGGTAGACTCTGAGGCTGCGGACTGGCCACTCCTTCTCAGGCCGGTGGCTCTGCGGTGGGCGGGGCTCCGGTCAGTTAGAGTGGGCCCTGAGCGGTCCTCCCCTCCCAGCCTTACTGTGCTGCAACACAGGACACTTCCTCGGGGGAAGCCTTCTGCAAAGCGCCCCCATTCATAACCCAGCCCACCCAGCCCCAGCCCTAAACCCACAGGCCTCCCACCCTGGAGACACACCGCCCCCCCCTAGCTTCTAGCAGCAGCACCAAACGGCGAACCCGGCAGTGCCTCCCCTGCAAACTGGAATGCACTTGCCCCATCAAGAGCCTCCGGAGCTACTCGGGGCTCCTTTTGTCCCCAGTTGGTGGGTCCTCGATCCTCCCCTCACCCCACACCCCGCAGGCTCCGGGTTGACCGTGTGGACACAGGCCTGTGGTGGGGTCCGCACTCACTCATTCTTTGGTCCCACAAGAAGGCTAATGCCTCAAAGCTGCAGCACAGTGGCCTCTCAGTAGACCAAAGGAAGAACTTCCCACTGGTCTAGGTCAGGCAGCGAGAGACCAATGTACCGGGTAAGGTCGCCAGGCCACTGACAGTGCTGGCCTCTGACCGACCCTGCCTCGGCATATGAGCCTGGGCTTGGGAGGAGCAGGCTAGCCTGGAGGCGGGGAAATGGGAGCCAGGGCCCCCCCATGGAAGGTGTTTGAAGATGAAGCTAATGAGCCTTCCTCCTGCTCCTAGGGCAGGTGCTCCAAGCCTTCCCCTGGCCTGGCCCCCTAGAGCCGGCAGGGGTGGGGAGGACTCACTTACAACCAGAGCTGGGGGTCCAAGACTGAGCCACCTCACCCTCTTCCCCACCAGTGCTCGCTCCACCCCCAGGCATGGCACCAAGGCAGGAGGTAAGAGCGGGGACGAGGGCCCAGCTGGCGGGAGTGGACAGACATTCGGGTATCCCCAAAGGAACGATCAACTACAGTCTGGTGGAGACCTGCAGGCTGACAAGGAAGAGGCTGACCTGAAATCAGGGCAGGGGGCTAGGGTGCTGGGGGACTGGGCCACGGATGGGGCAATGGAAACCATGGCTGTGAAAGAAATGAGGTGGCTGCCAGGAAAACCCCAGACTCTGGCCACCCTGAGGCTGTCTGGCTACGGAGAACTGGGCTGCAGGTCCAGTGTGACTCAGGCCTTGGGGCTCAAAAACAGACTTGGGTGTGGAAGGCCCAGAACTAGAAGCAGGGAGCAAAGTGACTCCAAGCTGGAAGACAAGAGGCAGTGGGCGTGAGAGGAATGCAGGCTGCAGTCAAGCCCCAAGGGAATTGTGGGAATCGAAGAATTCAAATCAGAGGTGGCTCCTAAGAACTGGAGCCAGCAAGCCCCTGCCCTCCACTTCTCGGGCTTGAGGCACATCTGTGATGGGGGTGGGGCTGAGATGAGGGGCTGGGGCCAGAAAGTGGGTGGATTGGAAGGTGGGGAGGTGTGTGAGTCCTTTTGGCCTTGAGGGCTTCATTTCTAAGCAGACTGCGACCGAGTGCTCCCAGCATCTCTGAGCTCACAGGCAGAGTGAATTTCACCTCTTGATGCCCCAAAACACTGTCTGGCCTGAGATGGTCTTAGAATCACCTTTCCCAGGTGTCTTGGGATCTTTCACAAAGGGAGACCTAGCCCTCACCCTAAGAACTAGTGTTTGGTTTTGTTTTTTTTTGGGGGGGGTACATATTCAGAATTGCTTGGGACCATTCCTAATTCAAGTATTCTGTCCTGATACTCGCAAACCTAAAGGCACCGGCATCTCTGATGGCCAAGCAGTCAGAGGGACAAAACAGACAGAACCTTCTTGGAAGCAGGACGGTGAGACTCCCTCGCATGTACTTTGGATGTGTTGTCAGGGGAGACCGGGCCCTGGAGGAGGACGTCATGCTTGGTAAAGTACCAGGGCAGTGAATAAGAGGCAGGCCCCGACAAGATGGCCTGGCACGGGCCCCATCCGAGGAGCAATGTCAGCCGGCACAGGACGGGCCGCGCTCCGTTCAGCTGCACACAAGGTTGCTGTGGGGCTGAGCCGGCTCAACAGCACTGACAACAAGCAGCAGTCAGAATGGGCTCTGCGGCAGCGAGTCTGGTTTGGGGAAGCAGCCCAGAAGGAGCCCAAGTGGCATCCTGGATTCCATGCTGGACTGTTAACTGCAAGGCCAGCAGTTCTGGTCTACCAGCCAGTCCACGGGAGAGAGGTGAGGCCTTCTACTCCCATAGGGGGCAGGCTTCATTCTATGAGTCGGCATCAACTTGATGGCAGTGAGCTCAAAAATAAACCAGGGGGAGGGAGCCCTGGCGGCCCTGTGGGTTAGGCAGTTCAAACCCACCAGGTTCCCTGAGGAATAAAGATGAGGCTGTCTGGTGCCATGACGAGTTAGTCTCGGAAACCCAGGGAAGCCATGGCCTCTGTCCTATAGAATCAGCTTGCTGGCCTGGTTGAATGGGTTTTCCGCAGGCCAAGTACACTTCCCAGAGACTTGTGTGGGGCAGACCCAGATGCTGCTGCCTGGGGGTGGGGGTGGGGGTGGGAGATGGGGGGGGATGGAGAGCATGTTTGACCCTGCCCTACCAGCTCTCCTGCTGAGCCCCGGGGTTTCTGCGTTTTGGAGTATACAGAGCTTGGGCTTTAGCGCTAACTCGGGTTCAAATCCCAACCTACGGTCTCGAGATGGCCTCGGGCAAGCCTCTTAAAAAGCCTGTTGGCACACTTGTAAATGAGTACAATACCCCCAAAAAAGTTCATGGAAAAATTCCATCTTTTCACTCCATCCTTCCACAGACTTCTAGAAGGCCCTGGCACGAGCCAGCATGCAAAGGGCCTGGCCGCCAGCCTGGCTGACCAGCCCATTGGCTCTGCTTCCCCTGGCTCTTCCTCCTCTCCTCCACACTAAGAGGTCAGCAGCTACTGTCCCAGAGATCCCACCATGTGCTCCCTCTGCTCACATGGGTGGTCCGGCTCTGCTTTGTGGGGCCGGGCCCCCCGCAGAGGAGCCAACATCCCAGAACTAAGGCGGATGGCTGGAGGAGCAGACAGGGTGCCCAAGTCCAGAGTGAGGACATGATCAGAGGGAAGAAAGGAGAGGACAAATATTCCTCACAAATAGGAGGCCAGACTGCATTAACAGAGGTATAACAGGCAGAAGACGGGAGGTGATGCTCCTTATCCTAACTGCCCTGCTCCATCATGTCCACCAGGCCTGTCTACGGAGCTGCAGGGGAAGCCGGGCTGCAGACACTGGTGGGGCAGCTGCAGGAGCCTGACCACTGCACCTGCAGCCACAACGTCCACTCCACTGCGGTTTCTGCAGGTGCATCTGTGTTCTTTGCCCAACACACAGCTAGGACCTTCTCCTAGGAGAAGTCTCCCTCTAGGGGCAGGGCAGCCCCGAAGGAGGAGTGGGTGAGTCCCCTTCCACAGGCGGGGAGTGTCCCACAGGCCTCTGTGATCCCACCCCAGCATTTGAGAATCGCATTCTGACAGGCCTGGAGCTCTTGCCAAGGCTGGCTAGAGAGTAGCTCCCGGGATCAGGTCTTGAACTTAACTAACCTGTGGGCCTCCAGGGCTTGAGATGTCGGTACTGTGCTGCAACACAGGACACTTCCTCGGGGG